TCTGTCTTCTTCATTACTGGAAAGTTTCTACTTGTATCCTTTATTCACAATAAATACTCTGAGCCTCAAATACCAGTGTCATTCTCTTAATGTGAATGCATTCACCCCCAGCAACCTCTGAAAATTCAGTGTTCAAACTGAATGGATCCCACCTAGGATCCCACACACACTACACAATTGCTTCTTTTAGATGGACAGATGTTTATTCTTCTCTTGAACAGCGTAAAACTGGAATGCAGTCCTGAACTAAGAACTTGGTCTTACAAAAATTAACTTAGAAATACCTATTGTTATATTAAAAAAATTCCATTCATGCTTGACTAAAACCTACATTTAGTGATTAGAGTGTATCAGGTTGATGGAAAATAGCTATATTTTTTTCTAATTTTGCATAAGTTTTTATAGAATATCAATAACTAAATTCTGCTACTGCCTATTAGTCTTTTACTCCAATGTCCTCTTCTTCTTTGTTGTTATTCCACAACTCTCCAAATTTCATGTTTTCCATAAAATTGTACTATTAATCATTAAATTCTGTTGTTTTCTATCATTTTTCATTGTTCTCTACTTCTTTCTCTGCTATCTTGTTTAAACAGCCAATGATTCTAGCCACCAGAATTGCAAAATATTTCTAAGTGGCTGTATTTATTGTGAATTATTCCCATCCAAGACCATTTTCACATATTTATTTGAGTTGGAAAGGACCGAGTAAGCAAGCCAAACTCTAAAATTCTCTATGCTTGAGACTCATTATTATCAATATTAAATTTTCCAAAATTCAGTTATTTACATGCAAACATCATTTTTTTTCCACATCTGCATTCTAACTGAATAAATTTAAACCAAGATTTTATTTACATATTTTTATAATTGCTTCCTTTTACTAAATGATTTTTTCTGTTTTTATTTTCTTTAATATTTTTGTGTTGTAGATGGACAACAATGCTTTATTTTCTTTATATATTTATTTGTTATGTGGTGCTAAGAATTGAACCCAGTGTCTCACACATGCTAGGCAAGTACTCTGCCACTCAGCTATAGCCCAAGCTCCTTCTGTTTTTATTAATGTGTTATAGATATTCATAATAGTGTGATAGATTTTGACATATTCACACTTACATTTCACATATTTTGCTCTATTCCCATCCCTAGTATTTCCAGTCTCCCGCTTCTCCT